TCAAATGTATTTAATAATAATAATAAACTTGTATGTGTTAAGAAAATAATATTAAGTAATTTCTGTTTTCTATTATGCAATAACATTATGACACTTGAGAACTTTTCCTACTTTCTGCCTTACAGACTTTGACGTCTTTTTACTCTTATCGGGACTTGATATAGCTAGCTGCCATTTTATTATTATTGGTGACTTTAGGATGTTTACCGAAACTAGTATGAGTATTATTTCTTATGTTAATGCTAAAAATCTTGGAATTAGTACAAACGGTGAGGGTGAAGTTCTTAGTGATGAGTGCTGATTTATCTGTCCTGGATTCAGTGTATGTTTTCAAGTGGGTCACCACTTTCCCCAGAAACACTGCTCCGCAGTGTGGCCTGAGTGTGCGAATTGTCCTGTGTGCTATAGATCAGCTAAGAAAGAAATGGGACATTAGTCAGTACCTGAATGTTGGAATATGCCTGTTGAGTTTTTAAAATAATCCTCTGGCTTTGTTGCATATTCTAAAAGTCTGTGAACTCATTGGAATTACCCAAATAGTACAAATAATAAAGTTTTAGCCCTGCATTTTAAATTCTCTATGGGTACAAATTCCTGTTTTGCCATTTGATAAAGTGTGTGAATTTGGACATGTTACTTAAGTTTATTTAACTTCAGCTTACTTATTTACCAAAAGAAAACATTATCTTTCACCTAGGGGTCTTGTGATAACTAGAGATCACATGCAAAATTAGAGTCTGGCTACTGCCCCACAAGAAGACGGAAAACCCTGTTCTTGGCCCTAGCATAATACTCCTCACGTGTCTGTAATGTTGTCATTCGCTGCTCACAGTCATGTGATATGGCACAGATATTGCTAGGAAGTTCCATCTGAGTAGTAAGATGATTCACTCAGTATCTCACCCATAGTAAGTGATAGACTCAGGATTTAAAACCAAATCAGTCTGACTGTAAGAGCTAACTAAGTGATTCACCACTCTGTTGTGCTAGCTCCTTCCGATAGCCGTTTATGACCTTTTTCTGAATGGAAAAGTGTCTTGCATGCCCTAACTCTGGTGTCTCTCCAGAGAGGAGTCTTGACTTCATGTCATATCACATATAACTGCCGTGGATTTAAAACATTTAGGTGTGACTGGCATTTTGAAACCTCTTACTCTGTAGCAACTAATTTATTACTATACTGCTATAGAACTTGCCTTTCTTTTTCAGTTATAAACGACCATGGCTTAAATTCATTGTTTTCACACCTAAGTCGTAGATAGCATTTATTGAGCATATTTACTGTGCTAGGATGGCTTATGATAAATATTCTACATGAATATTGTGAGATGTATTTAGCTATTAGAAAAAGAAATAGCTGAATGCTTGTTAAGATAATTTTCACAACTCATTTTATCCACAAATTTGTAGTCTCCAAGTAAAACACATCGTGGCTTAGCTGGTGGGCCATTATGAAAGGTACTGTGTTCAAGTTCAAAGATAATCTTTCCTGTTGTCCTTCTAATCATGAACCACTAAGCTAACCCTAAACTTACTTAGGGTAAACATTTTTATAATTACTTTTTTCATCAGTGTTGTTTTTATTAAGCTTGTTTTTATTTGATTATTAGTGCTGCATCATTGACCAATAGGGAAATATCATTTTGATAATTTATTACCAAAGAAGTAATTCTGGTATATAACATTCACTAATATTAATTTATTTGTTTTTCTAGAAAATATATATGTGCATAAATATATATGTGTGTGTGTTTGTGTGTGTGGGGGGGCAAAAGTAGGTTTACAATTTTATAGAAAAAAAGACATGCAGGTTATGATTATTAACTTTGCATTTCATATACTCACAGCCGTGAACCTACTTTTGCCCACCACTTACAGTATACATTTCCTACTAGAGGCCTGGTGCACAACATTCATGCACTGAGAGGAGCAGGGCAGGGTTCCCTCAGCCTGGCCTGCACCCTCTCATAGTTCGGGACCTCTCAGGGGATATCCCGCAGTGGCCTAAGCCAGGAGTAGGACATCCCCTGAAGGGTCCTTAGTGCTGCCACCACCACCTGGTGGTCAATGCGTGTCATAGTGACCAGCTGTCCCCCTCTTCGGTTGATTTGCATATTAGGGTTTTATTATGTATCAAATACTAGGGATACCAACTACAACAACAAAAAATGAATAAAGCTGGTACATGCCTGTGGAAGCTCCTAGTCTCTGGTTATCTTTGTAAACATCTCAAAATAGACATTTAAAGATGGTCATTGAAGATGCCTACCAATCCCTTGCACAATTAATTATCCAATAGTGCTTATCACTAGCACTAAGACCTTGACACTTGTAACCATTGCTTCTGAAAATTCTCAGAATAGTGTGCTGAAGTGTGTGTGTCTAACTAAAGTAAGACTGAAAGTTTACTGGGTCCAGTTAGAAGCACTTAGCTCTTTAAGTCTAGGTGTGGGTCCACATGTTAAAGTAACCAACCCTTCTACAAGTTGCAAGGACCAAGGAATGACGTTCTACTTGTTCGTGCCTGATCGCGCCTGTGGTGGAGTTCCTTGCCCGGAGTCCTGTGGGCCGAGGCTGAAATGGGGAGCAGCTTCCCCAAGGCGTTAGTTCTGTATGGGGCAGCAGGCATCTTGCCTCTCCAAGGCCAGAAACCTGCAACAAGCTTAAATCTCTCCTGAGCAGGCAGGCAGGTGAGCAATTAGGAGCCAGCAGTCCAGGATTGTGAGAGGGATGTCCTCCAAGGCGTCCTGGGTTGGAGAGGGTGCAGGCTAGGCTGAGGGCCCCTTCTCCCGGCCGTACACAAATTTCATGCACAGGGCCTCTAGTTTAATATAAGCAGATATCTTTCTCTCTGCTATATTTCCATTTAGTTCTCTGATAAAGTAGTAGTCAGTTGGATAATATGAGTAATCAGAACAGTGCAAATGGATAATTTATCTACAGTTCACAGTGTCCCTTTTCTGGAGATTTGATTTTCTTAATTTATTACTTCACCATAATTAGAAAAATTAGGGTGAAGTAATATGCTTTTAGCACATATTTATATCTTTTTTTGCACTGGCAGTAAACATATGATGATGAAGTCATTTTTTAAAATTGTTACTGATATTTTCAAAAGTCTTAGTCGCTTTAAGATGTTTAACTTGTAACTAGTTTTTGAGGGTGAAAGGGGAAGACAAATAGTCATTCAGTTGCTTTTTTTCTCTCTCTGGAGATTTCAGTTTGCTTAACATGGTCCTGCTCTATATTTTTACTGATTTTTCTGGTGTGTGATCACATCAGCATGCTTGTTTTTCCAAGGAAACCCCAGGGAGAGTCTTCTAATTAGTTACATGGTGATTTTAGTACCCTCACTCTTTTTTTTTTTTTTAGAACCTTCATTCTTGAAGGGTAATTTACTCATCTCTGTGGTGATTTATTGTGAAAATGCCCACTGACTTTAAAGTCCAGGATATTTCACTTGAAGTAAAAACTGAGGTAGCTTATTTATTTTAAACATTCTTAAATAAGAGTTTAATGTAATGTCCTCAGTATGGATTGATTTTGAACAGTCATTGTCTTGATTTCATTATTTTTTAAATAGCAAGTCAGCCCTTTGCCATCATGTCCTCTACCCTCCATGTCCCAGCCCCTGGTGACCCGCTGTCACCTGTCCCTGGCTGCTGACCCTGCCTTCCCCCCACTGGTCCCGGAGGCGGGGAAGGCAGCAGGACAGGGGGCGCAGCATGCCATGAACAGAAGTTAGAAATGCTGTGTAGGTTTGTTTAGTTTTAAAAGTTATTTTATTCTTGGATTCAGACCTATTTTATTAGTAAAAAAATAAATAAATAAAATAAATGGTCCTTTAGTTTCATGTTTCAAAGCGCCATGCCAGACGTTTTGATACTTTGAGCCCACATGATGTAATAGGAAGAGGTTATGTGTAGCACCCCGTGTCAGGCTAGGACCAATAGGCTCTGCCCCATGTAAACTACTATCTGGGCTATTGAAAGAAAACTTTAAGATTCATATTTCTTTGCAAATGCACAAAAGTAACAGAAGTAGCACATTTCATCTGATTGTACAAACTCTAACCGCACAGTGAGCGCCAGGAAAGTGTGTGGAACTGGGGCCTCTTGAGAACTTAGCTATTGCAGGCTTCTGAGCTTTAGTTCAAGTTACAGGCAATTTCAAATTTGTTTAATCTCAGCCATCATTCCAAAGGCTGGTCACTTTTAATTTTGTTGAGTGGGTGTTATCTCTTGGGGAAGGCAAATTTGCTTTCCGCGTGCCGGCCATAGCAGAATCTCAGCTGATCCCTCAGATGGCAGTGAGTCAGACAGATAAGGGGTGAACATATTTTATTCTAAAACTTCTCAGCAAGAACATTAAAGGTGGGTTAGCATTAGCTAAGTGCATTGACCTTTTTTTGTTTGTTTGTTTGTTTGTACAAGTACAATTTCATATCTACTGAAAATATAAGCTTACTTATAAACCTTATTTGCTGGTAATTTTAATTCTCCATAAGGACTGCACCTTGACACATTTAAAGGAATTCTTCTGTTTGTCAAGTGTGATAAAGTGGTATACAGCTTTCCTTTTCAAAAAAATCTTAAAAGTTGGTCATATTCTGGGCACTTTATGGAGATTAAACTACAGTGCTATGGAAGTCCTCTGTCAAGCTCTTACATATAAAGTTTTAAATATGTAATGAATCAAAGGAGGCAGAAATCTTGTTTCAACAATAAATTCGTACTTTTAATATTTTTCATTCCTCCTGTTTAATTTTGAATCTTGTTTAGTGTTTACTGCCTGTATCAATTTTGTTTGCATTTTCATTCTTGTAGTGTGTCTCATGAATTTAGTTGAATGTTGTAATTTATTTTTTAATTTAAAAGAATCTCACATACTTCTTACATTAAAACATAGTAAGTACCAACCCAGACAAATTGGAAGTTATATTAATTCTGGGAGGCATTTCTAAAATGAGTTGTTGCTAATGTTGTTTTTAATTTCAATAGCCTCAAGTACTACAGCCTTCCAGCAGCCTTCCCAGACCCACAGACCCCGCCCTGGGAAAACTAACAAGATGGCAGCCTCGCGAGGACCGCAGTGAGCACGTGGCCCAGAGCGCGCGTCCCGGGGCCACACGTCGCCATGACAGCTTTGCACAGGACTCGCAGCAAGAGCGCAGCGGTGGCCTGGAAGGCCCCCCTTTCTCTGCCAGCCCGCAGCTCGCTGAGGAGGTGGCTGAGAGTGCGCCTTCCAAAGCAGGCTGGGACGTGGCCATGGATGCTCCAGAGCCTTATCGTTTGACAAATAATCCCATTAAAGACATGCAGGTGGTACCCACTTCTTCTCAAACACTCACCCCATCGAGTGCGGGAGACCAGGCTAAGAGAGGGGAAAGAAACCAGTCTTTACCTGACGACGACACATCTCAGCTCAAATCCGTGCAGCTTCTGAAGCCATCCAACTTGAGTTCTTTGGTACCTACTTCAGTTCCTGAATCATCGCCAAGTAAGAACTCGCCAGTAATTGCACCATGTAATTCAGCAAAAATTCAGCTAACATCTAGTCAAACAAATCTTGTAAATAATCTAAATCCACGAGCATCTAAGCTCCGCCCTCCTTCTGGCTCTTTCAAACAAAAACAAATAAGCAACCCCCGACCAGAGCCTCAAAACTTCCAGGCCAAGACAAGCATCCCCAGGCCATTGGCAAGAAGGAAAGAAATCATGCAGAATCCCAATGGCAATTTGAATTCTGGGGATTGTCTATCATCTAATCGATATTCTCGTCTTCCCAAACCAAAGATACACTAAGTACATAGCCATCACCTGCCAACATGTCTTTTAAAAAAACACCTGTAATCACTTTACATGCAGTTTGCTGCCATGGTGGAGGTTCCATTAAAAGCTTGCGAATCTTAAAACATTAAAACATGGAATCTTCTACTCGTTTGGGCTCTTCCATTCTATGTCCTGGTCGAAGCACACAGCAGTGAAGTGTAATTGTCTTAGGTGAGCATTAGCTTTCCCGTCAGAGGCCCACAGCGGCTCGCCTGTGGCCACTGCCGGCCACCAGGAAAGGCGCAGCCCTCCGGAGCTGGCAAGACAGGCCCGTGGCGCCCTCGTCCCTTAGGTCTGTATTGGTGTGGTCAGAGCCTCCCTCTTTTTCACTAGCCCCTTGTGAACAGGGTTGGTTTTTAAGTGAAGATCTGCTGGTAATGGGAGGCGGTAGGTAGTCTGTACACAGAGTTCTGGAAAGTTCTATAAGAAAGCTCTATGATGAGGCGTGGCCTTCAGTGGAGAGCTGTGAGTTCTGTCTTTCCTTGCTAGGATCAGCAGGCTGCTCTCAATATTAACTTACCGAGTGCCCAGGCTAAAATGTTTCATAGGCTGTATAAACCAATTACCTACATATCACTCTAACATTTTGTTCATACGTGCACACCACTGTGTTTGCTTTTGGTACTTGATAAATTCTGGAAAGCTTAAGACATCTTGAAACCTATATCCTAAAGGTATATTCACTTGTAACGTTGGTGCTAGAGTTTTGCTGGTAATTCAGGTTTGGACTCTAGAGGCTTATGCATTCATGGTAACTGTTTTAAAATCCTACAGCGTATATTTTAAATTAAGTCTTTATTGTAAAGTCATTTATTGACTTTATGCTAATATTTGAAGACCAGAATAATGGACTTGAAATATTTGCACAAAATTTGGATGGGATATAAATACCCCATGCATAGGGAGTTAGACTATTTTCTGTAGCAAAAAAGGCTAAACTATGTTGGAAATAATGGTAAATGGAAGTAGACCTTCTTGAGAAAGCTGGAGTGCACAGCGCTTCTGCTGAGTTTTCAGGGCCCCTTTATGTTGGTGTGTATTTGAATGTCAGTTTCTTAAAAAGTAGGTTTGGGAGAGAAATGGAACTAGAGAGTGGGAACTGTGTCCTGTGAAAGGTGTGAAAGGGTATTTCAGGGGCAGTGCCCCAGGAAGAGAGCTGGGGACGCGGCCCAGAGCGCCACCTCTCCAGTGTGCGCGTCCGACACTCCTGCTCTCCAGGTCATGGCGTCCGGAGGGGTCCTGCGTGGCTCCGGCTAGTTCCTGTCTTTCGGAGAGATGGGCTTTCTCGGAGTAGATTTTGGTTGTGATCAGCTGACCAAAAATGTATCAAAAGGGGTTCTTAGCCACTCAGATTTCTAGAGATTCTTTTTTAAAATGTACACATGTGAAATTGCCCCTTTTTAGAGAAATAACAGCAGTACTTCAGTGTAAATTTTAAAAATGTTGATTGATTACTACCATTTTGAGGGTTCTTCCCGTAGAGTTTCAGTGACTCTGCCCTTCGCCGGGGACAAACCATTCTTTGACTTGGTAGCAGGTGACGCCATACTCTCATTCGGCAGCACTTGTGTAGGAGAAACACTAAAGTTCAGAAACTTTTCGCATTGTCCAGAAGGCGTTTGTATCTAGACGCCGCAGCAAAGCTCTGTGTGTGCGCAGACGAGCAGTGGTGGCTGCAGCTGTGCGTGGGCACAGGCGCTCCTCCGTTTGGAAGGAGCAGGAAAGCGGGCCTCGTGTTATAAATGGGTGTTATTACACTACAGAGCTGGTCCCCAAAACGTATACACCCGTGAGCTGGTGGCTCACGGAGTTTTCCCTCCTTTCAGATTTAACTGATTTGAAATATAGTGCAGGGTGAGGCCAGATTAAGCTTTGAACAAATAAAATTTATCCTAAAATGCCACTAGACTTTTAATGAGGATTTAAAAAAGATAAAGCTTGCAGTCAACAAATTGGGGGCGCACAAACATCAAACAAAATTATTCTTGATGTTTGCTTCCCGTTGTCAGCAGTGCCTGGACCAAACCAGTCATCAGTTTGAAAATAGGCATTAACAAAAAAAATATTCCTGTAGATTATTTTAAATTTTGAAAGTGGACTGTATGTTAAGTAAACACTGACTTTATAGTAATTCAAAATGTATGTACACTTTGGGGGACACACTGTATTCCCTACATACCGCATCCTGATGAGTCAGTAGGCTTGGCTGACTTGGGAGTTGATAGGCACACCGTGAGAGGGTGGCTCTTTGGGAAGGACAGTGATGGCCCTGGAAGGCCGCAGGAGGAGGGGAGACCCCGTGGAGGTCGTGGGCTGAGTGCGGAGCGGAGCGGAGCAGGTGCTGAGGACGGCAGGCGCTCATCTCTCACTCAGGCATCCGCCCAGCATCGGAGCCGACCTGCAGCCGGAGAACAGCAGACTCTGTGTCACAGTCATTAGTAGGCCTTTATCTTTAAGTGAAAAGTTTTAAATTTTTATATTATTTTTAACCCTCTAGTCTGAAGTCTGCAGTTCTTTTATTTGGATATTTTCCTGCTCTTTTTTCTCCCCAATTAGTATGCAGAAATATGAATGAACCCATCATTTCAAACTCTCTGTACCTCTGTTGAGCCTTAGTTTTGGCAGAAGGCTCATCAATATACTTATGAAGCATAATACATTTAAGAAAAAAACATTGAGGATGCTTGCACAAAACCAACAAAGTATTTGCCTGTAGTTTTCTTTAAAATGCAAGAATATTGTGTTAGGGTGCTCCTTAGTAAATGCTAAGTTGGAAATGAAATGAGGATAGAGCTTGCCTGATTTGGCTTAATCTCTGTTTAATGGTTCTGTATATCAATTCTGTATGTCACTTAATGCACTTCCTTCTACACACCCAGTGCACTCAGCCTTTACTGAGTAGGAGATCAGGTCACTTTTATCTTAGTCCCTGTGCTTTCAGGAAGATGGTTGCAGTGCATGAATTCCAAGTCCTAAGGAAGTTTTCTGGGGATTGGCTAAGTCACACATCTGAGAGAGAAGAATTACTGAGTATGTGTAGTGCATACATCGGCTGTTAACAGGATGCACGTACAATTCTTTAGAGAAAGCCTGGCGTGCGGAGTTTATCCCCCGGGTGCAGAGGGTTGGTGCACTAAAGGACCCTGTCATTTAGATGTGAAAGTCATTAGCGCTTCTAAAGACAGGCCCTCTAACATTTCTCTCTTGTAGTCTCGATTTAATTTGTGCAATATTTTCAGGCATATAAACTACTGTTTTGTATTTATATATAATAGATATTATATATTAGGGAACCTATTAAATATTTTAACAAGAAATAACCTGAATATGAAAGAAAATATCAGATTTGCACTTTAAATGAGCTTAACTGCTTGGAGCTGTGCCTGAAATATCTAAATGCCTCCTATTGGGAGTGACTTTTTTGTTGGAATAAATTTATCTCTAGCAGTTGCTGTTAGAAGTACAGTTGTTGACAGAATTACTCCCTCCATGTGCTACTTTTCTCATAAAGCACTAACTTCTTTGAGTGTTTAATTGACCGCTTAAGTATTTCACTCTGCGTCAACGAGAACATGACCCTCCTGTGGCTGTCACTTCTAGTCTTCCTGTAGCAGATGGTGCTGGGCACGGGCACCACCTGTGGAGCAGTTGTCCCCAGGGCACAGAGGATGGGCTTTGGAATCCCTGAATGGGCTTGCGCTGAAGATCAAGTCTGCAGCACATTCTGTTCACTGGGATTACACAGTGTTTCCGTGTTTATGGGTTAGTTGGGTGGTTGTGTTTGCGTGCCTGTGCACACATTGAAATTAATTACAAGCTGTAATACAAATACCTGGTGTTTTCCTTGGGGATGATGGCCTTGCTGTTTTTCCTAATTTTTATATTTGAATTAAATTACCTAATTTCCACACCTCCTTTCAGTGTTTTTGCTGCAGGAATTTGAAAGAATACATTTGAATAATTGATTATGATGGTGGGTGACAATCTACAACTATGCGATTAATTAAAGATACATCAGATGTTTTAACTTGAGAAAAAGCTATCCATTTTCTCCTTGGTAAAGCATTGCCATAACAAAAACACTGACCTAAAGAATTTAAAGTCTCTAAGTCATTATTAACTAAAAACAAAAACACACCAGTCTTTAATATCTGCAGTATTGTTTTTCCCATTGATTTTTAAAAAACCTGTACACAGTAAATACTGTATATTAGAACTTGCGTGTAAAATGAATTATAAAACTAAATGTAAAGTCTCCTGAAAATGTTGGTATAGTAAATAAAAATAAAGTGCATAATTATAAAACTTTTCTCGTTCTCAACATTGGCTTTCATAGTGTTACTTTTTCTTGGATATCATTTTCCCACAGATTTATTAAATACTGTTCATTTGGTTGATTTTGTTTGTTTGTTTTCAAATTCTGTCACTTAACACACTTCCTTCTACACCCACACCATATGCCAGCCTTCATTGAGTAGTGTTCAATAATAGTTTGTTGTGTTTTCACAGGTTCCGTAAATTAGAATGTTGCATAAAAGTGGAAAACTTTTTAATTGTTTTGAATGTGTACACTAAGCATGTCAAACTCAAAGGCTAACACGGGCCAAATAAACAAGGTTTAAGTTTATGTGGCTGCAAAAAACTAAAAGCTTCAATTTTCATAGAAACGTAGATTTATTTCGATAGAGACATGCTGAATACAAAGGGCTGAAATAAATGAGTCATCGTTAAAATAATATTTTAATAAAAGTCAATATTTTTTCTTGAACATTAACTTGCCAGACACTGAATAAATGCACAAATTAATAAACTGAAATAAACCTACTTTTCTTCTCCGAAGTGAAATATTTTCTGTTGTGCATAACCAACAAGTCAGTCCAAGACTAAAGATGTGGCCATCGGCTGCTAAAGTATTCGCTGCTGGTATTAGTGTCGAGAGGTGCGCCTGTGCAAAAGGGAAATGAATGCAACACGATTATAGTCATCAGTCATTAGCAAGTGCTGTAGTTTGTTGTTAATAATTATGTATAACAGGATATTGTAAAAATTAAGTTACAAAAATTTTTTTTTAAATATATTTTATTGATTTTTGTACAGAGAGGAAGGGAGAGAGATAGAGAGTTAGAAACATCGATGAGAGAGAGTCATCGATCAGCTGCCTCTTGCACACCCCCTACTGGGGATGTGCCCGCAACCAAGGTACATGCCCTTGACCGGAATCGAACCCAGGACCCTTCAGTCCCCAAGCCGATGCTCTATCCATTGAGCCAAACCGGTCCCGGCAAGTTACAAAATTTTTATTGACGTTTTTTACATACTGTTATGTTGGCTAGGCCGCAAAAATTCTTTGTGGGCCACATGCGACCAAGGAACCATGAGTTGGACATGCTTGGTGCATAACCGCTGAGGCAGCAGAGTGTTCAGTGGAATTTTATGTCGTAGTGTTTAGGAACAAAAATAATAGGCAATTTATAATTTTATTTTACAATTTAACTATATGTGATAATCCTGATACACTGGGATATAAGTTGATGCACTGGTATATCATGTTATCCAAAATGGTACATAAATGCTGGAAAAATAATGAAATTCCATTAGTAATTAATTTTATACTGGCTCTCTCAAGACAAAGGCTAACACGGGCCAAATAAACTTAAAGCTATCAGTGTTAAGGCCCTCTGAGTCAGTAGGAAGTGTTTTCTTAGACTAGTTCAAAATTATTATTTTTCAGTCTGTCAACAAGTGCAGTTATTTCTCATAGTTGTTCATTCCTCATTTTCCATTCTGAAAAAAATTTCCCCACCAGGAAGAAAGTAGGAGTGAATTCTGACTATTTATTGGGCAGAATAGTAACTGTTGGGGGTGCTGTGTCGGCAGTGGGGCCAGCTGCTGGGATGGGAGTGCCGAGCCCATGGTCCTGCCTCTCTCCTGCGGCAGCTCCCAGGGAAGGGAGGGAGAGGGCGGCAGGAGGCCGCTGAGGGCTCTGCTGGCCAGGCTTCCTGCCAGGCGCTGGGTCAGGCACCGGGATGGGGAGGGAGAGTGTCAGGCACCAGGGATTTGGGGGGGGGGGGGGGTCAGGCACTGGCGTGGGGGGGTCAGGCACTGTGGATGGGGGGGGGGGTCAGGCACCGGGGATGGGGGGTGTCAGACACCGGGGGTGGGGGGGGTCAGTAAACTGTAAAGGCCAGCACCCAGTCCTCATGTTCCCTGGGAGGAGCCCAGGCCCCTCAGGGCCGTCATCGAGGAGATCCCGCCCGCCCCCTCCTGCTCCTCCGAGGCCTCCGCACCGGGAGGAGGCGCGGGGCCCAGGCGGCCTCCTGGCGGGCACCCGAGGGCGCCCCGGCCTCTCCCCCGCCCCCGCCCCGGGGGAGGCGCCTGGCGCCCCATCCCCTCCACCGCCTCCCTCAGCCTCAGCCCCCACCTGCCCGCCCGGGGCACAGGGCGCCGGGACAGGCTCGCTCCGCTCAGAGGGAGGGAGTGCGCCCGGCGCCCCTGGGGTCCCGCCGGCACAGGGCGGCCGGGCAGGGCTCGGGCTGCGGGGGGCAGTGCTGCGGGGCCGAGGTTTACAAGCGGTAGAATGGGTAGGCAGTAGACATGTCCTCCCAGTGTTTTCTCTACAATTCAAAGTATATTGTGGATTAATTAAAATTTTATTCTGACTACCTGAGTGCAGGTGGGCTGAGTCTAAGGGGAGGAGTATTGGCGAAGAGAGCAGAGAGAGAGGTTTTTATTGAATTTTTGCTGGCTGCAAGCCACTCTGCTGACGCTCTGGTCTGTCCTTGGTTCCTCCCATGCCAGAGGTCTTCTGGTTATTTGAGCTAGGCTGTGCTCAAGGCTTCAGGCTTTCTGCAAGATATCTGCTAAGCACAGTAAGTCTTTCTCTGCCCCATTTTATTCTCTTTATCCCTTTCAATATATATAGAGAAAGTCTCATTGTCCAGCCAGATTAAAAAGGATTAATTTTGTGGACAAGACCAAATCTTTAATGTTACAACTGCTTTAAGTTTTAATAATATTTAAATTGGGTATATTTGACAGCTTTTCCAAATGTAATATTTCAAGAATATAACCGAGAGACAGCTTTGTGACATCTCAAGGGCCCTAAGGCAACACAAAGATCTACTCTCTCCCTAAAAAGAAGTATTTTTAACTAAATTAGACCAATACAATATACTTGAAATTACCACCTGTAAAAGTTGCAACCCAGAGAAGTTTAAACAAAGGCCAGACCATTACTAAATTTCTCCAGAGCAAACAGAATGTGGGGATGGGGAGAGAGAAAGAATATGAGTGGTACATGTGGCCAATAACACGGGTTCTAAGAAAATTTCCTTGACCCGTGGTTGGCAAACTGTGGCTTCTGAGCCACATGCGGCTCTTTGGCCCCTTGAGTGTGGCTCTTCCACAAAATACCTGGGTGAGTCTATTTTGAAGAAGTGGTGTTAGAAATTTAAGTTTAAAAAATTTGGCTCTCAAAAGAAATTTCAATCGTTGTACTGTTGATATTTGGCTCTGTTAACTAATGAGTTTGCCAACCACTGCCCTAGACAGAAGGAAGTAACTAAAAAAGACCCCAGCCCATTGACTATTCTTCTGGTGATCCTATAAAATAGATGCCCACTTCTAGGAGTGTTATTAAAAGTCTAATTTTTGCCATGTTTTTATTTCCCAGTCCATCATTTGAAATTCGTAAATGTGAGACATTTCTCACAATGTAGGGATACATCTAGGATTTCTGCGCTCGTGAAGAAATAAAGGCAGGTTAATGGAAATGGAGCGCCACACCCAGTTTTGGGGGGCTCTTGAGCTGAGCCCCGTGTCTCTTCAAGGATGCTATAGAATAAAACCCACGACTCTTTTTCTTTAAAAGATGGCAAAAATGACACAAGGCCCTATTTGGGCAACATGATTAGTGTTTCCATAAAAAGGGTAGTTCTTGAATAATAATGGACCGCCTTCTAAGGTTGCCTTATAGGTCCCTGGGCACTCCTGTTTTTAAAAAGGAAAATAAAATAAAATAATAAAGCCACCAAAGGTCAATAAGTTATCTCTGTTACAGAATTTGCCAAAAAAAAAAAAAAAATGCCTTGGGTAATAATGATTGACTTTAAAATAAAAGTTGTTAAGGCAAAATATACATAACTAAAATGAAAGGTAAGAGCAGTTTAATATTGAAAAGATTTCAAGTTATACCTGGAGTGATAAATCAGGACTATACTGGAGAAATTAAAGTAAGGGCACAAATAATTAATACCATTATCCTGCAAATAAAGTCTTACAATTTCTCTTAATTACTACCTTTATCTTCAGGCATTAACCATCTTTACAGACGGATCCAGTTCTGGAAAGGCTGGATCTACTGCACCAGTGGAGCAAAGGTCCTTCAAACCCCTTATATTTCAGCACAAGCTCTTATTTATGCCTTAACAGACTTTGCTATAGAGCCCATCAACCTATACAGTGATAGTGCCTATGTGGTAAGTATGGCCAAAATTATTGGAAAAGATACTGTAGGGCACACTAATTTGGAGGAACTCTTTTATTTATTTTTCAGTCTTCAAAAGGTTATTAGAAAATGAAAATTTCCCTACTGCATTGGTCATATCTGATCTCATGCAGGTCTCCCTGGTCCGTTAGCTATTGCAATGAGGCTATTGATCGCCTCCTTGCCTTAATGCAAGGGGCTACCCCATTTTCTCTTGCACAGTCCTCCCATGCTTTGCATCATCAGAATGCTGCTGCCTTGCACAACCAGTTTCGTATTTCTTGGGAGCAAGATTGTCAAATTGTTAAGCAGTGCCCTCAGTGTGCAGTCCTAGGGGTCTTAAACCTAATCAAATCCGGCAAATGGATTTCACCCACATCCCAGAGTTTGGTAAGAATAGATGGGTACATGTTAATGTAGATACCTGCTCCCATTTTATCTTTGTGACTCCCCAAACAGGGAAAAGTGTCAAGCACGTAATTAATCATTGCTTAGCCACCTTTGCAGCACTAGGACCCCCTTAGAGCTAAAAACAGACAATGGACCCGAATATGCTAGTTCTGTTTTTCAGCACTTTTGTCA